CTCTCTACTCTCTTCTCTCTATGTATACGTTTTTCCGTAGATATTCTCACCTTTTTTTGTCTAATTAACCGATATATTGATCAATTATTTTCAATGAATGAAGTGTGTGTAGCGAGAAAAAATTACTGCATTGTTTCTTCGATTAAGTCTTAGCAATATTTCTTTATCAATATCGGTAAATAATTAAAAAACTAAAATGAATCTAACAAAGTCATTCTTAATATAGATAATTATTTTATCTTTGTGGAATGATTCAATACTACTTTTTGTTCGTATCATGTATTACTTTATCATTTATTTTCACTTGAATTTTTATTAATGGATACTACGATCCTAACACTTCACCAACCATCAATTTATATTTTTTGAATAACTTTTATCATACTTCATGTTACAGACAATCGACTACGAACATTAGTTTATATTAAATTTTAGAAGTACTGTTATGAACAACAATATAATCAGAAAGTTGCAATGTCTGTTATGAAAAGACAGTAGTGACGATACTAAATAGATTCTTACACTGAATGATATGGTTAGTGTAAATGATGATAAATTTCAAAAGTAAACGAAGATTAACCGTCTCTTCTAGTCTAACTGACTAAGGACATCTGTTCGGATAGCAGAAGGTGTGTGGTTCAAATCACACGAAGGGAATATCTTTTTTTCTTTTTATCACATGCAATTAGTAACTGATAAGATATCTTTCACGCTTCTCTCGTTATAAAATGTTATAAATTTTCTAAATTAATTAATTGATTGAAATTGTGTACAACGCATTAATTGTTTATGTATGTGTATTGCGATTAATATTATATGAGTTCAATCCATTTTTATTCATATAATTCTACTATATAAAAATATATTCCAGTCATGAACAATCAACAATCACCATCAATTTATTCTTTTGTGTTGGCTGATAGTCATGCAAAATTTATTCCAGCGACTTTTACAACATCATGGTACAGTTTAATTACAAGATCAATTCCTGCTTTGAAATAGATTGATACTTATGATCACACACTTTCCGTATATGCAATATTAACCTTACCAGAAATCCAATCTTCCTTATCCCAAGCAAATGTGGTATTATTCTTAGTCGTAAGTAATTCTGTAAGAATATTCCCAGCAAGACAAATTATCTCTCAAATCCAAGAACTGATTTTTTTCAGTCCAACAAAATTATCCTCATCTTAATCTACCTGGAAAAATCTCAATCTCCTTAACGTTTCCATGTTTTAAAACAACTCGCTGATATCCAATAAAAGAATCCTTAAGAGACGGTAAATGGCTGAACCAAGCTTTTTCGTAGTAGGGTGTCATACAAAAAATGTTGACCTACCTTTTTCTCCATCTTAAATGAAAGAGCATGTAAAGAAATCTATGAATGACTTCTGAATAGATATGAGAAAAACATTGAAAATGTCTCCATAAAAGTCTAAAATAATGATGATAGTTTTTCTGTTTTCAGTATGTAATTATTATTTTTCCTAAAAGTCAATCAACTCAAATTGAATCATATCTCAAAAGATAGAACAAGTTTTCCTCTACGTAACTGTATATTTAGATTTTCCTTAAATAATTTATAAACATATCTATGACGGGTCAATAGGTGAAAGACGACACAAAAAAATTTCAAAATTTTGCGCTGTCTTTTAGTATTTCGATGAAACAAAATATCAAAAAAGATTCAGGCAGACCCTGTTTTTTTATGGATTCGATAGTGTAAAAAAACTCGCACAAGATGAGCATAAAAAAATATCTAAAATATGTGCGCATAATACTTTAATTTAGTCCAAAAGATAAAAGAACATTACTGTTATAAGTTGAAGACTAAGTGATATAGAACATCAAGAATCAATTTGTCTTGTTAGTTAAATGGTTGGCTAATAAAGATATAATATGTAAAGATCATTTCGTTTATCCTCCGTATAAATCTGCTACAGACAATATTCAATATACCATAATACCGTTTATGCTAAATATTCAGATCATACATTATGCTACTTCATAAAAAAACATTATTGTTTTTATCCATCTTTATTGAGTACATGCCGGATTACAAGAGAAAAAGCATTGTATTCTTTTTTTCTTTCTAAGTGAGACGCATAATATTATTATCTAACACTAGATTCTTCATACACCTCTTATTCAACGTAGTATCGTACATTTTTGGAGTCATTTTTCGTTTGGTTATATTTTTATACAAAGCAATCATACGCACTTCAATGTCGTGCGAAAATCAATGTTTTGTTAAGAACGAGAGATTCTGCAGTAAAGCATTAATAGGTTTTCATGTGCTGCAACATGAACGTTTCCCGAGTACGGTTTTTCTTTGATGCTCAGCCATATATCGAGATTATGCTGCTACGAAGTGATCTACTTTACCAGCCAGCTCTTCGTCTACGTGAAACTATTGTTTGTACCAAACATAAGAATGATTTCTGGAAGAAGTTTTGACGATCTAAGTATGGTACCTACTTTGTATGCATACTATGTTTTGGAAAATCAAAATCTAGTATTGCTGTGCGAAATATAGCCGCGCCTATAGCACTCACCTCACATGAACAAATAGAAATCCCACCATTCCTACGGAAAACCGATATGTTGCCAGTACCGAGGAGAAGTCGCAAATTGTATCGATTCGGTGAGACAGATGCTCTTTTTTTGTAACATTTCTAACAATCTATTCTTCTAATAGATTAAGATCAATGAAGATCTGTTTGTTCTTCGTTGACTAGAAATCATTTCTTGGAGTGATGAAGAAGCGGATGACAACATTGATGACCCGGACTCTCATATTTCTCCAGTTTATACCACAGCATCATTATTCATTCACAGTAGTTTCAGTGAAAAGAACAAACGAGCTGTACTGAACAATTTTATTCGACTCATGCGACCAGATCAATCTGCTCGGTCATTATTAGCTACTCGTTCCTATAATGAGCTTAGTAAAAGGTCTAAGAAAAATTTTCTTTTATTAATACAATTCGTTGTTGATGCTGCACTGGAATTTATCTCTGTATGGTGTGGGTGTTGCGTGTGCGTATGCGTATGACACGGGTGTAATTAATGATCATCTCACACTCACACCCACCCACACCCTGTTGTATAACGGTAATATTCTTTTATCTTTTGGACTAAATTAAAGTATTATGCGCACATATTTTAGATATTTTTTTATGCTCATCTTGTGCAACGTTTTTTGCTCTGTCGAATCCATAAAAATCTATCGTCGGTCTGATTCTTTTTTGATATTTTTCTTCATTGAAATACTAAAAAACAGTGCAAAATTCTGAAAATTTTGGTGTCGTTTTTCACATATTGACCCGTCATAGATATGTTTATAAATTATTTAAGGAAAATCTAAATATAGTTTTGTAGAGGAAAACTTGCTCTATCTGTTGAGATATGATTCAATTTGATTTGATTGACTTTTTGGAAAAATAATAATTACATACTGAAAACAGAAAAACGATCATCATTATTTTAGACTTTTATGGAGACACTTTCAATGTTTTTCTCACATCTATTCAGAAGTCATTCATAGAAGACTAAAACTTTGGATTTATAGATTTCTTTACATGCTCTTCCATTTAAGATGGAGAAAAAAGTGGGTCAACATTTTTTGTATGACACCCTACTACGAAATTGTTCAATTCAGCCATGGGCTGTTTCGTAATAAGTTACCTTTGTCGTATTATTTTTTACTTGATAATTATGAATATGAACAACGTCGAATCATACTTATGCAGTAATTACGATCGTCGCATTTTGATTACTTATCGTACCATGAAAAAATTTTATCTGCGTGTTGAACTAGTTCGGTTAGATATTCATTTTCTAAAGTCTTGTCGGACCAAAGATATAATACCCAAATTGTTATGGTTCAAGACTGCCAATCGAAATCTAGCTTCATCGTCAGCATATAAAGATAGTCGATGTCGTTTATTAAATGTTGAAATGAATTACAAATATCAACATCTTAATAAACTGAAGAAAATGTACCGGTCTTCCATTACTTTACTAAAACAATACTACTTTGGAGATTTATTTGGGAGATTATAACAATTAATTACTACCGTTTGTTGTCCTCTCATTAAAGCAAGAAAGCAAACTGTTGAAAGAAAATTATACGGTCGTTCTCTTCGTACTGCACCAAATCATACCGTCGGTCGGGAAGTTGCCAGAAATCTCTCGGCACGAATATTATCGAATGATGAAATCGATTGTCTTGCTAATGATCTCGACTATGGCTTAGTGCCAAAACGTTTTGATGAGATGAACGCTGTGGGAAATGTTGAACAATTTTTTCATCGCGTCACTGATATATTTCAAGATCATAAAAAGTTTATGGCAGACCTAAAAGACAAGGATAAAGTCATATCGAATGATATTCATGTTCTCAACATCAAAGAGATGACTCTGGCCAGCAATCTTCATAGTGTAACTGACACTTTCCAACACCAAGCTAATCGATACCGGCAAAAACAATACCTACTTTGTAGTGAACAAAGACAATATTATCAGCTGCTGAAATCAATAAAACAAGACAAATCGATTATTGTTACTCGTCCTGGTAAAGGTCGAGGCATTGTGTTAATGAACAAAAGTGATTATTTGTCAAAGATACAAATGCGGTCCTTAATGACTGAGCCAAGTTTCGTTGTCTCTTTGTTGATTCTACCATCATAAGAGAACGTAGTTTGACAAATTTGTTAAACAGACTAAAGAAAAATGGTCATATTTCTCAAGAATTTGAGAGTATGGCCAAACCGACTGGATCAAATCCTATGCGACTCTATGGGTTGTCCCAAATACATAAGGACAATACGCCTCTTCGGCCAGTTCTTTCGTTCGTCGGTACATACAATTACGGTCTTGCTAAAGCTCTGAAACAAATTTTGTCAAGCATTATAGAAAACGAGGTGGTCATTAAGGATACATTTGCTTTTATTAATGGATTAAGATCATTACCAAAATCTTCTTCAAAATGCAAGATGGTATCATTTGATATTTCGAGCCTTTATGCAAATATACCTCTTAAAGAAGCAATTGAAATTATTTTGAACCATTTATATAATGATCAAGTACCACCATCATCAATGGAAAGAAAAGACATGAAGAAACTATTGGAATTTGCAACACAATATTCTCATTTTCTCTTCAATAGTAAAGTTTATGATCAAGTAGATGGAGTTTCTATAGAATCGCCCTTGGCTCCCCTTCGTGCCGGGACTTTTCTCCAAGACTCCGAAAAGAAACATCTATCATTATTTGACATTATGGGCATTGGTTATTGGAAATGTTATGTGGATGATACTTTTGTGTTAATTGGCTCAAGAATTTCTCCAGATGACATTTGTACTCGCTTATCGTAATGCCATCTATCTTTAAAATTTACCGTGGAAAAGGAAAATTCAGAAACAAATTCCGTTGCGTTTCTTGATGTTCCTATTTAGCGACAAGCCAGTATCGGACTTCGAACTCAAGTTCACCGAAAAGATATTTTTTCTGGTCTGATAACCAAGTGGGGCAGTTTTGTACCCAAATCTTACAAATATAATGCAATCTCACTCATGGTTTATAGAGCAATGAAGATTTGTTCAACTTATCAAGCTCTCCAAGATGAATTTGAATTTATTCGTGAGTTATCATTAAAAAATGGATATCTAAGTATCTTCGTTGAATCTGTAATTCCAAGGCAACTTAATTTAGTATATTTGCCCCATGCAATTGCATCAACAACACCTGAAACGAATATCATAGTCTTGAGAGTACTATATTATGGGAAACCAAGCCAGATATATGGCAAGGCACCAGTTGTTTATGATGTAACAGCCAGCATTGGTCAAAACCTTACTATTTAAGATACAATATCAACTGAATTAAAATCCGGCGTTGTTTTCGAGGCAACTCGTACTTTATGCAATCAAGAATATATTGGAAAAACCTGCCGCCATTTAAAAACACGAATAAACGAAAATTTGTCAGATCAAAAAAAAGTTATATCTCTACCAATTCAACCACCAGAAACAACATTAAATAAAAATCAACCACCACATAAAACAACTAATACTCATAATTTTCATATGACTATCCAGTCACAAACACGAATGGCTCAACAGTTGTCAAATCAAAGAAAACTGTTACCTAAACCTTCAATATTACCATCAAATAATATAAAGAAAAAAATGCAACTAATAAAAATAAAGCACAAAAGAAGGTTCATATGACTAGGTCACAAGCTAAAAAAATTAAAACAATTAAACAAAAACTTGAGGAAGATGATCTCGATGGCGTTTTATCAAATACAGTCCCAGTAGATAACAAGGAAACTGATTCAAGTCCTAAATCAGCCTTAGCAAAACATTATGTATCTACTGGTCATGTGTTTACTAATAAAGACTTTCAAATAATATTATCAGATCATCATCGATATCGGCTTTTGATTAAAGAAAGTTTACTGATAAGACAGAGGAATCCATAATAAAATGGAACCAATAGATGATTACCGTTATACATTTACCCCGGTGATCTCGAAAAATCCAAAACGGCAATATCGAACATAAACAGCCATACTCTCGATACGAATACAATCACAGGCATGAATGATCCGCATTCAAATAGAGAAAAAATAATTCTCGTATTTTAGATATCCCCCAAAACATTCATCCAACAACAAACAACATGCGACAAAAAGATATTCGCTGAAAAATAGTATAAAGTTCGTTTAGCTTCCATCTGTCTAATAACATTACTTCCTCTGTACAAATTTAAAGCAAACAACAGCGCGATAAAAAATTAACTGTCAGTCCCTCTGTCTCTTCAATAAACCTCAGTCTTTTATTTATTCATGTACCTTTTGCCTCATGATATTTCCTCATTCAAATACACAAAATCATCAGAAATATATCAATCATCAAAAATCTAACGTTCTGAAGTCCAAAAAAGATTCTCATGTGAAAAAGGAAGATAAATCCTTCAAACACAATATCTATTTAATTTATTCAACTAGCTATCAATTTGGTGACATATATTTGAAACCAAAAGCCCTCTCTCAGAAGTTTCTTCTGGTTGACGATTGGATAGAATGATGATATTACTTACCTTTTCCTGAAAGCAGCGTGATTTTATACTATACATGGCCTAATTATATTTTCTGACACAATGCGCTTGATACCAATCAACGACGGCATTATTTACATTATTATTATTATCCTCAGTACATACCTAGTACAAAAACACTCACCATTGCTTCCAAAGTTTCTTCTTCCGTTCCAATTACCCGTTACACCATTATTAATAACACATTCTATCGAACATCTCTTAACACTTACACATTAGGTTGATAATGATC